ACAGAAGAAGCACCCCAATTCAATCTCCCGGCGAGCTTCTTCGCCTCGGCAGGGTGCAAGGCATTGCGCCTCAAGATGGCGCGGATCTGCGAATCCCACTTCGCCAGCTTGGCGGCGCCAATCTCCAAATGCAGCGCCTGGCCGGGGGAATCGATTTCCACCTCTACGCCCAAAACTGGGGCACTCTTGGAATCCGATACCCGCTTCGTGGCATCGAGTTCCCAGCCGAGTAGGTCCTCGACCACCTCGCGCGCAACCTCGCTGGCGCCAGCTGGTGTGGCGAGAGCTGGCGCGTCCGAACAGACTGCGTCGGCGCCAAAGAGGTCGTCTACGAATCTCAGAAACACTACGAAAAACAGCTGCGCCATAACTGATCTGATTGCTGAGCCGAAGCGTTCCCAATTGTAGACCGAAGCTATTGCTCCGAAAGGGCAGGCAAGAAGCTGCAGACCCTGCCCCTGGGCGTCGGCCGACGCCCACGTTACCACAGCGAAGTGGAGGTGGGAGCTAGCCAGGGGCAGAGTTTTAAAAGCTGCCACGAAATCTTCTTTCCGCAGCGCGGCTCCGCCGGCACCTCGCTGGATGACTTCACAGAGCACGGCTACGAAACAGTCGAGCGTATCCTGTTGGATTGTTTCCCCAACAGATACTGCGGCATTTATACGCGATGCCGAAAAGTCGTCTATACAGCGCACCCGGCGCGAATTATCCTTCCAACCCTCGTCGGCCGGAAAGCGCGCAGTGAGAACGCAATTGCCAGGCAAGGAGCGCCACCTCGCATGGCCATCGCTGACCTCCTTTTTACATTTAGCTTCGAAGACCGCTCGGACCGCATCCTCCAGACCGGCCGGTCGCCGCACGCGGCGGAGCGTGTCCTCATTCAGAGCGCTGGCTTGCGCCCGCAAGCCCGATGCAGATCCCGAGCACTTTGCGTACGGAATCTGCGGCAGCACGCCACTGCGCGGAATCTCACCCAGAAGGGGAAACCCATTGCGCAAATCAGCTACCAACCGAGTATCGGGCCACGCGATGGCCTCGAGCATCTCGCTGAGCACAAGCAGATTCTTCTTCGGACCAAGAACGCTCTGAACGTGCGTCGGCAGAGAGCCGAACCTGCGCGCCCAGAGCGGGTCCAGCACGCGCTTGCGCTCACGCCAATGCGCGAGACTAGCTGCCCTAGCAGAAGCCAAAGCCTGGCCACCAAGAGAGAGCACACGAGCGAGAGGAGCAGCGACCGCCTCTGGCACCGAGGGACGATCGCAACACGAGGGCAAACCAAGAGCCCACTCTAAATGATCGAGCGGACCAAGACCGGAGACCGCAGGATCCTGCAGGAACGTATTTACACAATCCCTGACTCTGGCCATGCCAGGAGCCGCGGGATATTCAGGGTGAAACTCGCACTCCGCTGGACCGCCGAAATCGCGATCGGCGCAGAAGTGCTCTTCAAAAGCTGTGGATCCGCCATCAAAGCGGGCAGAATCCACACTGGAGCCTCCTGGGCTCTCACTGCGATCGGATGCCGATCACTTCTTGCGCTGCCCCTGCTGCCAGCCACCCTGCTTCCAGTTGCCCTGGTTGTTGCCCTGGTGCCAGCCGCCCTGGGCCCAGCCGCTGCCGCTCTGCTGCCGGCCGCCCTGGTTGCGCCAGGGGCTGCGGGAGCGCGGCGGCGCGAGAGGCGAGAGAGACCGCGGCGCCGACGCCGCAGCAGCGCTGCTCGCGCCATCGCTCTTGCCGTACTTGCCGCCCTTGCCAGCGCTCTTGCCAGCGAGCGTCCGCGCAGCCTCAGCCGCTCTGTCCTCGACCTTCCGCTTCGCCTGCTTCGCGAGGTCTGCGTCGACCTTCGTGAAGTAGAGCCTCCAGTCTGGGTCACCGCGCTCCAAAGCCTTGGCCATGGCCGTGCGCACCAGGATGTCGTACTGGTACGCCGTGCGCACGCCCCCTTCCTCTTCGGCGACCTTAGTCAGCAAGATCGAGTAGGTGAGCACCTCAAGCGGCGTGGCAGCCTTCATCAGAATGAGCTTGACGCCCCAATCCATGATGTGAGCGTGGAAGGTGGCGTACCCGGGGTAGTCGAGCTCCGACGCAGCCCGGACACGCCTCAATTCGGCCATCTGGCGCTGACGCTCAGCCACAGACCCGTCACCGACAGGCACGTCGATACGCGGAATCCTCGACCAGGCCGGCCGAAAATTCCTCTGGAGATCCTCGCCCTCGGCACTGCCGACGTACAGCCGCCCCTTCTCTCTGGCCACGCGGCCGGCTGCCTCGAAGACCGCGAGGCTCTCCTCGGACGGGAGGACGTCCTGGGGGAATTGGTCCATTCCCAGCTCCTTGACCCTGTCTGAGAGCTTGAAGGAGAGCGCCTTCGCCGAGAGCTTCACCTTCTCGCTGGCGGCCTGCGCCTCGAGATACGCGGTCATCGTAGTCGCCAGCTTGCTCTCCGGCGTCGCCTCCTGAGGCACTGTGGCTGCGCACTTGCGCTGGAGCCGGTAGGCGAAGGCAAGCTGCGAGGGCTCCACGGCCCACGCCTTGAAGACGGCTGGCTCGGACTCCCCGGTGTAGGGCTTTTCCCCTGGCTTGACGGTCGCCGCAAGCAAGTCGCGAATGCAAGCCTCGCCCAGATCCTTCGGCGAGATGGAGCTCATCTTCTCCGCGACGAGCCTGCCCACCGACAGGTACCAAAAGAGGTCGTGGTGGGCCTTGGGCGACTCGTCCACCGCAAGCACGAACTCGCACCACTGAACGGCCGCGTCAGCACCCGCGCCACAAAGAGACCCTTGTGGCAGACCGTGCACGAAAGCCTGAATCTCACCCGCGGCGAAGGACATCGCAAGTGCTCGCGGCGAGCCGGCCTGCCCAGACAGAAACGGAGCACAGAGCGAGCAATCCTTGATACCTCGAGCCAAGACGCTGCCGGATGGACGGCGACAGGGCGGCACGTTCGCACCCCCCACTGGAGCAGCGCCACAAGCAGCTGGAACCCGACCTGCGGGTGAAGATGGCCGCCCAGGGCAGACAGACGGCGGTGGCCTCCTGGGGCCGGAAGGCCGGAACACAGAACCAGCAGGCCCAGAGCACGCGAACGCAGAGACTGGTGCCCGACCTGCGGGTGCACCCCCCGACCTGCGGGTGTGACAGAGATTGGTGCCCGACCTGCGGGTGCACCCCCCGGCCTGCGGGTGTGACAGAGACACGTTCCCGACCTGCGGGTGCACCCCCTTGGACCTGCGGGTCTGGCAGAGACTGGTGCCCGACCTGCGGGTGCACCCCCCCGACCTGCGGGTGTGAGACACGCCCGTCCTGCGGGCCAGAGACACGCCCGTCCTGCGGGCCAGAGAAAGCATTTCTCGACCACGCCCGTCCTGCGGGCCAGACACCACGGAAGCCCGCCAACGACGAGCAGCGAAGCGCATTTATCGTCGCGCAACCACGCACCACCAAGGCACGGCCCCCCGAGGCCGCGCCGCGAGCCGCGGTCCGCCAGCCGCGCGCGGCCCCAGCTTATTAGCACAGAGGGGACCCCCCCAATCCGCCGTGCCACAAGGGCACTGCCAGGCAGTGAGGCCGAGAGGCCAAGAGGCGGAGAGGCCACGAGCAACCTCCCCGGAGATTTTCCTGCCCCCCAAATCGCTTCGCGATTTGGGGGCGATAAAAAACGAGGTTGCCGCCTTCGCCCGTGCCCTGCGGAACGGGGCGATAGTCGTGCAGTTGCCAAAGTGTGGTTGCCGCCTTCGCCCGTGCCCCACTGCCGCTCCTGGGTTCTCGTTACCACTCGGCCGCGTGCGCGGCGCAGGCTGCTTTGTCAAGGGGCCCCAGTGGCTGCTTTGCGTGGTCCTCTGGTCCGTGGCGCAACAGCCCTGCGGGAGGCTGCTCTGCAGGCCCTGCGGGAGGCCAGTGCCGCAACAGTCCTGCGGGGGGCTGCTCTGCGTGTCTTCTTCGGTTGCCCGTGCAGCGTGGCGCGGGGGCCCCAGTGGCTGGTGGCTGCTGCGCGTGGCCCCGTGGTCCGTGGCGCAACAGCCCTGCGGGAGGCTGCTCTGCAGGCCCTGCGGGAGGCCAGTGCCGCAACAGTCCTGCGGGAGACTGCTCTGCGTGTCTTGTTCGGTTGCCCGTGCAGCGTGGCGCAGGGGCCCCAGTGGCTGGTGCGCGTGGCCCTGTGGTCGATGGCGCAACAGCCCTGCGGGAGGCTGCTCTGCAGGCCCTGCGGGAGGCCGATGCCGCAACAGTCCTGCGGGAGGCCGCTCTGTTTGGCTTGTTTGGTTGCCCGTGCAACGTGGCGCAGGGGCCCCGGTGGCTGCTGCGCGTGGTCCCGTGGTCTGTGGCGCGGCAGCCCTGCGGGAGGCTGCTTTGCAGGCCCTTCGGGAGGCCAGTGCCGCAACAGTCCTGCGACAGGCTGTTCGGCATGTCTTCTTCGGTTGCCCGTGCAGCGTGGCGCAGGGGCTCCGTGGCTGCTGCGCGTGGTCCTGTGGTCTGTGGCGCAACAGCCCTTCGGGAGGCTGCTTTGCAGGCCCTTCGGGAGGCCAGTGCCGCAACAGTCCTGCGGGAGGCTGTTCGGCATGTCTTGATCGGTTGCCCGGGCAGCGTGGCGCAGGGGCCCCAGGGGCTGCTGCGCGTGGTCCTGTGGTCTGTGGCGCAACAGCCCTGCGGGGGGCTGCTCTGCAGGCCGTCAGGGAGGCCAGTGCCGCAACAGTCCTGCGGGAGGCTGCTCTGCTTGTCTTGTTCGGTTGCCCGTGCAGCGTGGCGCGGGTGCCCGTGGGAGGCTGCCCTGTGTGGTCCCGTGGTCCGCGGCCCCGTGTGGCGCGGCAGCCCTGCGGGAGGCTGCCCTGCAGGCCCTGAGGGGCAGCAGTCCTGCGGGAGGCTGCCTTGCGTGTTTGGTTGGTTGCCCGTGCGGCGTGGCGCGGAGGCCCTTGGGAGGCTGCCCCGCGTGGTCCTGTGGCCCGTGGTGCAACAGTCCTGTAAGAGGCTGTTCTGCAGGCCGTCCGCCGCTCTGCTGTGACCGTAGTCAACTGGGCCCAAGCGTTCTGGCAGCTTCCACCGCTCACCTGTTGTTATCCCCTGCATCCAACTGCCTGCGAGCATGTCTTTCACGGCTGCCGAGATCGCCGACTTCGCCCGCGCCCTTCCAGACGGTGCTTTGAATGGCGCGAGCATCGAGGCCCGCATTGAATGGTGCGAGTTCCTCTTGTCTGTCGACGAGGCACCAAAAGCACACCACGACTTGTTCTGGTTTCTCTCTGTGGGGAGGCTGCTGGCGGAGAAAATGTCTTCTCTGTCGCCAATTGACTTTGGCGAGCCGTGCATGAAAGACTTCATTGGCACCGTTGTGAGACCTGGCGAGAAGCCATGCACGGACGAAAGCGAGTCAGCAACCTTCAAGGCGTGGGTCGTTCAGCCAGCGCAGGTTGCTTTTGCGCACCGTGTCCATCGGAAATGCACGGCCGTGGTGCCAGTGGCGCCCACGCCAGAGAGCACCCTCGCCGGGACCATGAAGGAGTATCTCGAGGCACAAGCTGCGACTCAGAAGCTTTCGGCCAAGGCCTTGTCGTTCAAACTCGCTGAGAGGGTCCGCGAGTTGGGGCTGGCCGATTTCCCGAAAGACGCTCTTCCCTCAGAGGAGACCCTGGCTATCTTCGAGGCCGCAGGCCGCGTGGCCAGGGAGAAAAGCAGGCTCTACGTCGGCAGCGCCGACGGTGAGGACTTGCAGAAAAACTTCCGGCCAGCGTGGTCCAGAGTGCCTCGTGTTGATGTGCCTGCTGGCGAGGGTTCTTTGCCGGAGCGGCAGCGCCAGATGGCCGAGTTCAAGCGCGCCCGGGCTGCGAGTGAGCTCGATTGGCCAGGGTACGCCACTTTCCACGCCCACGTCATGGACTGGGGCGTAAAACTCATTTTAATGAAGACTGCGACGCCCGTGGAGATTCTGGGTTACAGTGTGCTGCTTGCTAAGGTAGCGGAAGAGCAGGGAGGCGTTCGCACGGCCTACCAATACGACCTCTTGGCGCGCACCACCATGGCCAAGGCTCTGGAGGCTGGCGATCCCTCGTGGAACGTTTATTTCACGAAGATCGACCGTGACATCGCCAAGGAGGCCAAGGATAAGATCATGGCCAAGTTTGGCGAGGTCGCGAGGTTCACGTACGGCAAGGGCGGCAGCGGCAAGAGCAAGCAGGGGAAGGCAGACGGGCACAAGAGCGGCGGCGAGTCAAGCGCAGGCAGTGGCGCCAAGCCGCCCGGCACCTCGGGCAGGTCGCTGTCGCCAGTGGCGCCCCCGCGCTCTCGCAGCCCGTGGCCGCGGAAGCAGCAGGACAGCTGGCACCAGGGAGGCTGGCAGCAGAAGGGCTGGCAGCAAAGGAAGAAGTGAGCCATTTCGAATCGCCCCTAAATCGTGCAGCGGTTTGGGGGGCAGGAAAATCTCCAGGAGGACTCGAGTGGTCTCCTCGCTTCCTGGCCTCGGTGGCCTCAGGGGAATCGCGCTGGTTCACTGCCTGGCAGTGCCCCCCGTGGCGCGGCGGATCGTTGTGCTTACAGCCGGTGGCCGCGTGCGGCTGGTGGGTTTGGGCGTGGGGATGCTACGCCACTTGCCCTTCTCCTCCCTCTGGCCGCGAGTGCGCGAGGATAACCGCGCCTTTGGCTGGCGGTGGCAGTGGTGCCCCTGTGCGGGTACGGGCGCGCCTGGCCGTGCTCTTGGGCGCTCGGGTTGCGTCTCGTGCTCCTCGTCGCCGCTGCCCTTCCTCGTCGCCTTCCTGGCTCCGTCCGTGCATTCTGGAGCTCAGGGCGTTGCTGGTGCTCCTCGTCGCCACGGCTCCTCGTCGCCACGGGCCTCCTCATCGCCACGGTTCCTCGTCGCCACGGGCCTCCTCGTCGCCACCGCCTCCCGGGGCCACTGCCGCTCCTGAGTTCTCGTTGCCACTCGGCCGCGTGCGCGGCGCAGGCTGCTTTGCGTGGTCCTGTGGTCTGTGGCGCAACAGCCCTGCGGGAGGCTGCTCTGCAGGCCGTGCGGGAGGCCAGTGCCGCAACAGTCCTGCAGGTGGCTGCTCTGCTTGTCTTGTTCGGTTGCCCGGGCAGCGTGGCGCGGGTGCCCCAAGGGAGGCTGCCCCCGTGGTCCTGTGGTCCGTGGTGCAACAGTCCTGTAGGAGGCTGCTCTGCAGGCCGTGGCGCATCATTGCCAGGCGTTCTGACTTCCCACGTTGGGCACCTGCCCGGGTGTTCCGGAGTTGTTTGGGCTCGAGCGTGACTCTTCGTTCTGCGCCGAACGCCCCCTTCTGAATCACTGCGCGTCTCCAACGTGATGTCCTTTGCATGCGAGGAGGTGTGTGCCTTCGTGCGCGCCCTGCCGGAAGGAGCGCTCTGCAGGGCCACTTTCGATGCAGCCGTCGAGTGGTGCACCTTCGTGGCGTCGATCGACCCGACACCGAAGGCGAGGCATGATCTGTTCTGGTACCTGTCCATTGGTCGGCTGGTGGCGGAAAAGATGGGATCTGTCTCCCCGCTTGACTATGCCGACTCGTCCATGCGAGGCATGATTGGTGACGTTATTAAAGCGCAGGAGGCGCCGTACACAGCAGAGGCGGAATCAGCGGAGTTCAAGAGCTGGATTGTCCAGCCTGCGCAGGTCACCTTCGCACTCCGGTTGCAGGCGAAATGCGCCGCAGCGGAGCCGCCAGCTCCGACTCCAGAGGCGACCTTGGCAGACACCATGAAGGAGTACTTGGAGGCGCAGGCTGCGAGCCACAAGCGCTCGGTCAAGGCGCTCTCTTTCGACTTGAAGGCGCGGCTCCAGGAGCTGAAGATGGAGGCCTTCCCAAAGGACGGCGTCCCGTCGGAGGAAAAGCTCGCTGTCTTCGAAGCCGCCGGCCGTGCGGCTAAAGAAAAAGGTCGGCTGTACGTCGGCAGCGCCGACGGCGAGGACCTCCAGAGGAACTTCCGGCCCTCGTGGTCGAGGATTCCTCGCGTCGACGTGCCAGTTGGCGACGGCTCGGTGGCCGACCGCCATCGCCAGATGGCGGAGTTCAAACGGGCGCGCGCGGCCACTGAGCTTGACTACCCTGGGTATTCGACGTTCCATGCCCACGTGATGGACTGGGGCGTCAAGCTCATTTTGATGAAAGTTGCGACTCCCTCGGAGATTCTCGGATACACGATGCTGCTGACCAAAGTGGTCGAGGAGCATGGGGGGGTCCGCGCGGCGTACCAGTATGACATTCTGGCGCGCACGTACATGGCCAAGGGCCTCGAGAACGGCGATCCTGAGTGGAACGTTTACTTTTCGAAGCTGCACCAGGATACTTTGTGGGAGGCCAAGGACAAGGTCCACGGCCGCGCCGCCGACGCGGCCAGGATGGCAGCCGGCAAGGCAGGCGGTAAGGGTGGCAAGCCCGGCAGGGCTGACTGGAAGGGCCACGAGTCCGCGCCGGGCAGCAGCTCCAAGAGGTTGTCTCCGGCAGTGCCGCCCCGCTCGCGCAGCCCGTGGGGGCGCAAGCAGGGCAGCTGGCAGCAGAGTGGCTGGCAGCAGGGTGGCTGGTCGAAGAAGAAGTGAGGCGGTTCTAGCCGCCAGAGCAGTCGCAGTGGCTCTAGTGCAGCTTCCTCCCGTTTTGATGGAGGTTTGCGCGGCACGCCTGAATGCGATGCCGGCCGCGTTTCTGGCGGACCCGGCGCAGACGCCCATTTTGATGGCGAATCAACCGCACCTGCAGGCGGCCGCGTTTTGATCGGCCAGGCCGGGCAGGCACGTTTCACTCGGAATATCCCGACTCCCTGGCTGCGGCCAGGCTGCAGGGTGCTGTGCATAGCTTTCTGCAGAATCCAGCAGTCGCAAGCTTCGGCCCGTTGGATCATTTAGAGTGGGCTCTGCAATTGCCTGCGGGCGACGGTCTGCCAGAGGTGCCGGAGTCCATCGCTGCCTCTCTCTCTTCAGCCCTCAGCCTTGACGGGCACTGCTGGCGCAGGCTCGGGCCGGCAGTCTCGCGCACTGGCGTGAGCGCAAGCGTGTGCTGGACCTACTTTGGGCGCGTGAGTTCGGGCTGCTGCCCGCGCACGTCCAAAGGGTACTCGGTCCGAAGAAAAATTTGCTTGTGCTCAGCGAGATGCTCGAGGCCATTGCGTGGCCCGACGCTTGTCTCGTGGCGAATCTTCGGAATGGATTTCCGCTTCTTGGCCAGATTCCGCGCAGTGGCGTGCTTCCCCAAATTCCGTTTGGGGAGTGCTCCCAGTCGGCGGCGAGTTTACGCGCGCAGGCTGATGCTTTAAACGCAGAGACGCTCTGCCGTGTTCGGCGGCCAGCGGGTCTGGAGGACTCGGTGCGAGCGCTCTTTGTAGCAAAATGCGAGCAGGAGGTCAGCGACGGCCATGCGAGGAGGCGATCTTTGCCTGGCAATTGCGTCCTCACTGCGCGGTTTCCAGCCGACGAGGGCTGGAAAGGTCACTCTCGCAAAGTGCGGTGCATCGACGATTTTTCGGCATCTCTTATAAATGCCGCCGTGTCTGTGGGTGAAACCATCCAACAGGACACGCTAGATCGTTTCTTGGCAGTCCTTTGCGCGGTTCTCGAAGCAGGACCCATCGGAGCCGCGATGCGCAAGGAGGACTTCGTTAGTGCTTTTAAGACCCTCCCGCTTGCTAGTTCCCATCTCCACTTCGCGGTGGTGACGTGGGACTCGGCCGAGGGCCGCGGGCTGGGGCTGCAACTTCTGGCCTGTCCTTTCGGCGCGGTGGCGTCCGTCTACAATTGGGAGCGCTTCGGAGCGGCAATCAGATCAGTTCTGGCTCGCCTGTTTTCCGTTGTGTTCCTCAGGTTCGTTGACGATTTATTCGGCGCAGACCCTGTCGTCCCAGGCGCGCCGTTCCTTGCCACGCCGGCTGGTGCCAGCGAGGTCGCGCGCGAAGTTGTGGAGGAGTTGCTTGGCTGGGAATTTGATGCCTCCAAACGGGTGTCGGAGGCAACATCCGCGTCCATTTTGGGAGTGGAGGTCTCTGTGGATTCCGATGCGCAGGCGATCCATCTGCAGATTGCCCCGGCCAAGCTCTCTCAGTGGAATTCGCAAATTCGCGCGATTTTGAAGCGAAACCGGCTGCACCCAGCTGAGGGAGGCTAAGAAGTTGGCCGGGCGGCTTAGTTGGGGTGCTTCCGCAGTTTTCGGCCGGGCGGCGCGGGTGCATTTGGCGCCGCTTTTCAAGCAAGCGTCCGGTAACTCTTCTGCCCTGACTGGGCGGGTTGCGCGGTCACTGCAGTGGTGGCTGCGTTTCCTCGAGGGCGTGCCGCGGCGCACAGTGCTGTGCTCGTCCCCGGCGGCGCGACGCCGGTGCCGGTGCATTGTTTACTCGGACGCTACTGGACGTGGCAGTTTGGCATGGGCCATCTGCTTGCCGGACCGGCGTCTTTGGTCTGCGTCCGCCGTGCCCGACGCAGTGTGGCGCTGGGCACGTTACCGGAAGAACCAGGTGGCAACGTGGGAATTAATGGCTGCCATCTGTGCTCTCCACTGGCTGTTAAGCGAGCAGCTCGGTGATCTGGAGGTTCTGCTTTTTGTGGACAACCAGACAGCCCTTGCCACTCTCGTGCGGGGCTCTTCCAGGCAGCCTGATTGGAACGATCTGATCGGCGACCTCTGGCTTCGCGTGGCCAGGGCTGGGATGCTTTTATATAGTTTCTACGTTCCGAGCCATTTAACTCTAGCAGATGCACCCGCGAGACCGCGGGAAAAAGCTGCAGCGCTGGAGGCAATGCAGGCGGCAGGCTTTACGGACGTTCCGTGGAGCTGCCCACCAGACGCCCCGTGGCTCTAGTCTGAAACGTTCACCTGGCGGCAAAAAATGACACGATGCATCGTCATCTGTTGTGTGGTCGCCGTTGCTCGTCGTGTCCCGCTGGCATCGGGCAGCAGTAGTCAGTAGCCGGTTTGGTTCGAAGAAGGCTGGCGGTGCAAGCCATGCTCCAATTTCTCGACAAAAGCCGGGCTGACACCTTCGGGGAGCGCGTCCAGTCCAGCTCCGCCCGCACATTCGGTCTGTGCTGTCGCTGCTGCGCGTTTCGCCTGGCTATCTCGCAGATGCTACCCGGCTCGTGAAGGGCGCCGAAAAGGGCAGGCCAGACGAGGCCTCGCGTTTGGGCTACTGTTGCCCAGACTCGCGAACTTGTAGCTTGGGCCAGAAAGGCGGGCCGCCCAGATATCGGATGGTCGTGGGCAGTTTCGCGGCATTTTTGCTTAAGGTATTCTGAAGCCTTATGTCTCGGAACTCGATCTGCACCTTTCCGCTTTGTCGGGTCGGGCTCTGGTTCGGAGGCAGTGGTTGCGTTTATGCAGCGGAAGTGCTACCGTGTCCCCGTGGAGGTGTCGCGCACATGCATTTGCACCGGGAGGACACAATCCTTGTGCGGCGTGTGTGCGCTGCGGCGGGCGGCCGAGAAGTGCCCGGAGCCTT